TGCCCTGTTTTTTATTTCATGCTTTTCTGTGCCCCCATGAAAACACGCGGGCCCCCTCCTGGCCCCTTGGCACATTTGATCTAGAACCACCACTGATTTACTAAAGTAAAAAATACATTTATGTCCATTTGTAAGTAGATCGTCGTCAGTAAAATTAAATCTGCTTTGCAAGTCATATTTACAAATGCATTTACTTCCTTGTATAGGTGAGAAAATACAGATTATTTACCTAAATCCAGTTGGAGAGACTTAGATCTGACCCAGGGGCAAAAACACATCAAAGAGCAGATAAAAACACACGAATGACCAAAAATAATGACCAGAATAACGAAAGTGAAAAAAAAAGAAAACAATGCTTTGCACACATATTTACTTGAAGTGCGCGTGTGCGTTTCAGCGTACGTGTGTTAGCCCCGCCCACATCATCTCCTCCGTGACGTTTCGGGCAGAATGTCGCCAATCGGCTTCAGTTGTAGAAATGGCAGCGCTGAGACAGGAGCATCGGTATGGGCTCTGCTGTGGCAAGATTAACAAAAACAACCCGAATCAGAGTCTGTACCACGTCAAACTCACTGACACGGCCTTCCGGACCCTGGAAGCCTTCCAGAACCTGAAGGTAAGCAATACTTTAAACCCGCTGCAGAGGATTTTATTTTTATTTTTTATTCCTGCTTTCTTTAACCCTTCTCTCCCAACTCCGGGAACTGCTTAAAAAAATAAATAAATAAATAAATAAAATGAGGAAAAATTGACACTTTGACGGGAAAAATACTTAAAATGTTTACAGCCTTTTGAAAAGACTGCGACTTTTCAAGATGTCATGGATTAAAATGCAGAGGCGGCTTTTAAAAGCAGGATTAAACCTGTGGTTATTAATATATTACACTTTCATATTTTTAAATATTTGACTTGAATTAAGCAAAGATATGAGCTTTTAATGAGAAAATGTCTGAAAAACAAACTTTGTCCTTTATTTAAAGCCCATTTTCTCAGTGTTTATTAATAAAGGCGAATATTTTGAAGAAAAAAAAAACTGTTCCCCTTTGTTCCTTGGAATAAATTCAATAGTCGATCAAGCAAATGAGTTTGCTTTTCAGATTCGTGAAGGTTTGTTTTTTTATTGCCTTTATGGCCCATTAGATTGGTCAGAGATCATAAAGTCTATAAAGCGCTCTTTCTCTCTGCAGAGCCGCGGCTGTGAGGGAAATAGGAGCCCCGGTTAGTTTAGGCTTTTTATTTTCCTTTCTTTTCTGCTGTCACAGCAACACGGTCTGTTTCTGTGTGCGCCACATTCCCGACTCATTTCCAGCCACTAAACCTGGAGCCCGGCTGGCCTCAGTGGTTCAGTGGGATAGTAAACAGCTGGCCTCGGTGGAAGTTGTTGTGCGTTGTTGTTGCCCGCCCATCTCCGGAGCTCATTGGTCCGTAAAGCGGAGGAAACTCCACAGATCTCCCACAATCTGACAGCTTCCTCCAGGCCACAGCAGGCAGGCAGAGAGAGGAGAGGGGAGGGGAAGGTTTTCCAATCTGGAGACCACCCCAGAAAATACCGGTTCAGACTGCTGGACGCCCACTGTGGCCGTGGAAGATTTCTGTCCTGCAAAAACCCCAACCTGAGTGTCTGTGCTGTTACTGATCTTTACACCCCTGGGTTCAGGATAAAAAAGGGGGCCTTAAAGATCCAACAAAGTGATTTTTTAGCACAAAAAACGTTACATGCATGTTGAATAGGAACACAAATGTTAAACTGCACTATTGGACAGCTGGAAAAACCAAAGAAAACATGTCAAACACAAACAAACAAACAGAAATGTGGCAATTAAAAGACAACAAACTGTGCTACTTATCAGCAGTCTGCAGGTTTCAAGGAAATAGTTTGACTCATAAAAAGTTTACTGCCATACATTGCCTTTTCATCTATTCCTTCTTATATTTCTTAGCCATGTGATAAACTCAAAGGTTGCACATTTTATTATTATTATTTACGTATTTAAATATTTTTCATGGATTATGGAGATAAACGGCAACATAAAACTCAAATCTCACATTTCTCACAAATCTCACAAAATGCAAGTTAAAAAAAAACTCCTAAATTCTACTGAAATCATTCAAATTTCATTAAAAAACTCATCATGTGTACACATTTCATAACCCAGCATTTGGGTTGATGGAATAATTCAGTATGTTTTAGCTAGTACTGTATTTCTCTCCATGTCTGTTGATTGTGGTTCTGAATTATTTGTAAATTATGTGGTTCTTTTAAGACTCTCGATAAACCAAAACAAGTATGATTGATTTCCTTGTGAAATATATTATTAATTGGAGTCATATAACCATTTATGAAATATTATCAAGAGATTGTGTAATATATGTACATTATAATACCTTATTATTCACATGTAGATATTTTATATTTTTATTTTAAAAAAATCTTTCTCTTATACACAATATATTTATGTGTTATGAGAGAGAGAGAGAGAGAGAGAGAGATATTATTGTACCGTGAACCAAAATTTACGGAAACACAGCAAGGTGATCTGTTAAGTGCATGCATCCTGCTTTGATTTGTAACTAAATGTTTCTTTTTTGTGGAAAATAGTCAGAAAAGTGATTATTTTAGTCTAAACCATCCATTTTGCTAAATTGCACCAAAGAGTTTATATTTTTATTGCACATTGAAGATTTTTTTTTATTATCGTTTTTCTATTGTCATGATAACTTTTAATTATATTATAAGCGTTCCTGCCTGCCCCTTAGTAACCTGGCAAACCATATTCACAATATGAAGTACTCCCAGTTTATTTCTACACATTATCAATTTGGGCCTGCTCCTATGAAATCTATGGACTGGGTGAAACTAAATCTAGAGCCGACCAACAAAAGTTTGGTTTTAGCCAATCACGGTAACAGATAAAGAGGGTCTTAAGTAGCAGGTGCCATGAAAAAACACTCCTTCAAAGATGAAATTGTGGATTACAATAAATGAATTGCATTTGGATTCTCCTGCTCTGCCATCTTTAATTTTGTTTGGCTGTGAGCTTGGCACGTTTCGCTGTTTTCTTAGCTTTATAACACGCATTAGCCTGAATTACTGCAATGTGATTGGCAGAGCTGTTCTGGGCCGGTGTTGGAACGTTTTATATACGATTGGGACTAAATAGTTATTCGTGTGTTTGTAAAACCGTAACTAACACGAGAATTTAACTTGCAGGCTCATAGTTAAAATGCAGTTTTTGTGGCTACAAAAGAACATTAGTGTCACTGTTTTGATCCATCATCATGTTATAGCTATATATATTAAAGGGAAGTTGGGCTAATTAGGACTAGATCTAGTGCGAGTCTTCTAGAATAGATCAAAGGAGAGGTGTTACGTTAATCAAGTAACTTATCGTCTAGTCTGGAGCAACACAAAACTTATTTGTATTCTGGGTTTAATATTGAATTAAAGTATAAATTTTTTTTAACTAATTACCTCCTAAATCTTTTCAAATGTGGCTCTCTACCATTAAAAAGGTTTAATATGCAACTTAGCATATAAATAAATGGATAAATAAATATATAATGTGTATATTTCTACTTAACATTCAAAATTTTGGTCTGTTAACCAGGGTTCTCAATAGGGAAGGGCATTTATAATGAATGAAGAGCCCTGTCAATCAATGTAGGAGCCTTTACATTACAGATGGCAGTAATTATGTGTTTTGAAGCCGAATAATTGGTTTCAGGAGAGTTGTCTTAGAACTGGGGATTTAATATTGGTTCTCATTTTTCAGTTAGAGAAACATGATCTGAAAACACACAAACCAGTGAGATGTGAAGAAATTCTTCTTGTGGAAGAAAAATAATTAGTTACACCTACTTCTCCTCAGATTAGAGCCAGAAACCCTTAACCTTTAGACTACTGGAGAATGGTGGTTATGGCAACAAACACAGAGGCATGAAGAGTAGAAAGATATTTTCACCCACATATGAACTGCTCTGTAGATTTGGGATGAACTCGATTTTGAATTAATTTACCCTTTTTCCCCCCCTTTTTTTTTACAGGCTTCACTATCAAACCAGCCAGCGATTTGCTTCAAGGGAAGCCAGGGGGTAAGATATGCATGATTTCTGTATTGCTTCAAAAGCTGAGAATTAATTCAGTCTTTTTTCTGTTGAGCACATTTGTGATGGTGTGTCTGGTGATCTTATTGATTCTTTTATATCCAATTATCACTTACATGGATTCAAATGAAAGTCTTGTTCGAGTTGCATTTTTCAAACCTTGGAATGATGGAGGTGTCATTGTTGGGGCAGGATGATATTATGGTTATTTTTAATTCAGCTTATCTAGTAGTCTTTCGTAAAGTGTCTTTCCTTCCTCAGTTACACTTTCTTGTGTCAAATATCCTTCATTAGACATGTCAACACAGACACCTGGTGCTTAATCTTCATCTTTTTGCAGACAGTTGGAAGACCTTTCTTTGAAGCGACTAAAAGGAAAGTTGCCTATGTTCAGTCAGATTAGCTGGGTCAGTATTACACCCTCCCCACCTCTGCTCAGTAGGCTAGTACACATTAACTGCACAATCGGCCCTGTCTATAAGAAGCCATTCTAATCCCTACAAGAGCTGACTGCACTGACGAAAGTGACTTTGGTCGGTTTACAAATACTAGCCCTGTGTGCTCACACGGGGCACTAAAGCCCAAAGACAGGGTACGCTACACCCACCCCCCCTGGCTGCCAGCCAGGTTACTGGGTCAGGCACGCAACTGGGGAGGCTTTGTTCTGGGAGGCGTTGGAGGGGGCTAGGGGAATTGGCAGACCTCAGGGAGTCCCCAAGTCTCCATGCTTCTTGTCTGTTTGCATACATAAAAGACCCCAAAAACACTAATGGCATGCAAGAAGTGAGTAGATTTGCTTTTTTGACTTTTTTTTTTTTTTTAAAGATTGAAAAAAAAATTGTTTGAAAAAAACCAAGCTTGTTGAAGTTTTACGAGTTATCTAAGACACCACCAGCAAATGAACCTGCTTATGAAAGAATAAAGTGATGTCAAATTAGCGCAGTTTAACTTAAAACACTAAAAAGGATTTGGTGATTACATCTAGCCTGGCAGTTACATATTCAAATTGCTTTGCAGAATTCAACCATGGGCTTCCTCCCCCTTCAACAATATTCCCAGGGCTGGACGATTGGGCATTAATGAGTGCGCTGCAACCATAGATGGTGTGTGTGTGGGGTGGGGTATGTCAGATTAAGCTATTATTGGGGGAAGGAGGACGCTTGTGAATTTGGCAGTCTGGCATACAACATGCCAAGATGATATCAAGTATCTCCATCTATGCAGATGTAATACTTCCTTTGGTTGGTTCTTGCTGGATGAATCTTTAAAAACAGTTTCCCCCAGAATTAGTACAAGGTTCAATAGGTCATCTGTCCACTGAAAGTTGCCAACTGTTGAGCTTTACCGTAAAAATCCAATTGGTACTTTTTATTGTTGCCCTCACTGGCTCATGTCAAATTTCCTGTAAAGGGGGTATTTGTGGAGCCACAGAAACCGTAAGAATTCTTCAAATCACTGCCCTGGCGTCTCTCCAGGTCTCACTGGTGCCAGGGGCCAGGGTGCCTTTCAAGAAATAGCAAGCTGAGGTTTTCTGCAGCTTCTACTCTGTCTCTGCGGCGTTTAGCCCTGCTACTGGAAATAGTCCTGCCAGGCTTGTAATCATGCATAGTATGTAAGGCCTGTTAATTTGGCATTAGAGCTAACCAGTCAACTTTGAAATAACAGTTGGATATTGCTTTTTGTGATGAAATATCAGACTCATCTTTTACATTACTTACTAGGGTAAGAAAGCCTAATACTCCAAAAATGATACAGCATTTCAGCTAAAGACAGAATGCACTGTGTGGATTGCCTGGGGTTCATAAAAGGATTAGGAAATGCATTCAGAACTGGTTTGGGTTCCCATGGCCTGGAATTTCACATCTTAGTGCTTGGTTTCCTTTCATTCTCTGCAAGAGCTGCTTCTGTTATATATGGTTACAGATTTGGTTTTAAGAAGTTATAATTAATAAATCCATACTCTTGAGCAGTTGGTAAAATAAAAATATCCTTAACATATTTCTTGTTTTTGCCACAACTGGATATTTAAGATAAATTTTAATGAATTTGAACCGGATACAAACAAAACCTGTTCCGTTTTCAAATTATGATTTCATTCAGATGGAGAAAAAAAATATAAATACAAACTAACCAGACCTCAAGTGGAAAAAATTAACCACCCAACTTGTTAAATCTTGAATTAACTATGGTTAAATACATTTTTTTGAAAAACAGAGATGTATTTCACTGGTCAGGCCAGACCTTATGATCAAGAGACCGATAGAATTAAGACATCATTTAATTAGTACCCAACTGACAAACCTGAAGTGGGCATGAAGAAATACTTAACCAATAAATTATGCATTTTTTAAAGAAATAAAGGAACAGAAACAAATTTACTGTCAGCCATTAGTCTGAATATGGTTACAAAGCCATTTCTAAGGCCAAGTCTGTGAAACCAATATAGCATTTTAGCCCTTGTTGACAATGTAGGTAGCACTTTACAATATTTTTTTGTTTTTTTAGCAGCCTGTTAAGACTTTGTCTCTTCACTAAGCTTTGCTGCTTCAGGACTTGGAGGACTTTGCACACTGAATGACAGATTGATTTTTGTCTCTCAAAACAATATTGAAGCAGAATACCTCTCCAGCAGTATACAATCTTAACCATATTCATATTTGGTAACATAAAAGGACAATTTTGTTAAGGATACCAACATGTCAACTTCTAATTGGCTCATAAAAAAATGATAAAATTAAGGATTTGGATTGGCCTAGTCAAAGTTCAGATTTAAAGATGATTAAGTTCAAGTTAGCATCTCAACAAGACTGTTAATGACCAATTAATTAAATAGCCTGTTTTGTTTGCATAGCTTTTTGACCCTTATTATTAAGATAATTCATTTACAGCAGTATTTTTAAAAGGGTTTTCTATAGTACAGATTTCTTGACAATCTGTAGCATGTTTGTAAGATATAAGCAAAAACAAAGTAATCCTATGGGGGATTTTTATTAATTCTTCAATTCATTTATAGACTAATACTTTTCTGTAGAACTGTAATGCTTTAAATTAACTACTACTTGACCTATTTTAACTATATCATCAATACGGTTGATTAGTGTAATTCTGTGCTAGTAAACATGGACATTAGTAGAGATGTGTATGTTGTCCTCTGAGCTGATAGAAGTTGAATTACAGCAGCCTGAGTAGTTGTTTTGGTTTATAACCCTGTCTCTTTTTATGTGCGCAGCTGTCACATAAAGGCAGCCTGTGTGAGGATGAGGGAAATGTGGAGGTCCTCTTTAAAATATTCTCATGACGACTGTGTGTGAAGGCAGAGCTTCCCCTGGGCTCTCTCTTGCCGGCCTTGTTGATTATTGTGCTGTTTCACCCCATGCCTTAGCTGAATCCTTGGGAGACATCAGGGCTTCTATCTCACACTTGGCTGATCAGACTCTCTACCCCTGTTTCGCCTCGTGCTTGCACCAAAATAAGCTTAAGCTCTGTGTGAGTGTGCACGTTTGTAGGCACACATCCTTTTTTTTTCTCTGGACGCTAATTAGAATAACAATAACTGGAATGCCGTTTGATAGCCGTCCTCTCCCAGTGGCATAGCAGTGAAAGGGAGAACTGTCCCACGTGTTTCTGAAAGGGCACACGCCTTTCCATTCAGCCAGATGTGTTAAGCCAGGCAAATTGTCTGCATTCTCTGTTTACGGAAGCCTCCCTGGGGTTTTTGATCAGGGTTTATTTTAGAATCAGGTCTTGGGAGAGTCCTGTTGGGAAAGAGGATTTTTCATGAGATTATTAAAACAAACCTGTTTCTTAGTCGATTGAAATGAGATGAAGGATATAGATGAAATGCAGCATATTCTATTTGAGAAGTCATAACTTTTTCTAATTTGTCAATGTGCAGGAACAGGTTGTAATACAGGGATACATGTTTTTATTCACTAACTAGTCCTTTATGTGTTCCTATCAATCTTTTTTGTGCTTTTGGATATTTTTTTGATAAAATTTTGTAAGACTTCTGTTGGGGATTTTCTGTTGTACTTTGGTTAGTTCTCATATTTAACTACCTCATGTTTAAGAATCAGCTGGAATCAAGCTGCCAGACTGATGGTTTGAATAGAATGAACTGATTCCTATATAAAACCAGATCATATGAGGTTGTTGCACTTAGAGCTTATTGAAAATGCATAGGACTAGTCAGAATGCACATCCATGTCTGAAACTGTGCTTGTGTAGCTCTGACGGAGACAGACCCATTGTCTATAACGGTCAGACCTACACAGAAGATTAGTGGCAATGTCATGAGTCTGACAGGAAGAGAGTCATGGTGTCAACGTAAACACATCCGCTTTGAGGAAAATACTAAGTAAAATGTCTTAACACATGATAAACCAGTCAGGTTTGCCAAATTTGGAAACACAGTGTGTATCTAAAAATCAGGGAAGACAGGGACGTAAATAATCAATAAAACGTTTTATTGACAATTAAGAATGCTTATGAGAGACAATCAGGTTTATAGGTTTGAACTCATATGGTTCATCAGGGTTTCATTCTTATGAAATTGAAAACAAAAAGTTTCTTCACCCACCCATAACTAGCACAGCTGGCTCTTACGAAAAGAGACTTTGTTTGTTTATCCCTAATAAAACCATGTTATCTATAACTAATTCCTATCTTGTTGATGTTGATTGAGGTCACATTATATAACCACATCTCCACCCACCAGTTTTAGACACCTAGTTTAACCCAACACTAAAGCCCTTTCACACCGCCTTTGGTGTTCAGTCCTAATTATTTAAGGATAGAAAAAAAAGCAGTGTGAATTATATTAAGTAAAGACAATAATTTATAATAATAACCAGTTGTTTTTTTTTTTAAAGAAAGAAATCGTTTGCTACAGTTCCTTTTGTCATCTAATTGGTGTCATTTAATTGCCATCTCCCCCCATCCTGATATAGAAGGCACCACTGTGAAGGGACGGCAGTGTCAAGGGTAGA